TGTTCTTTCTCAAAACTCTTTACTTTAACTTTAGAAAAAAAAAAACTATTTTCTTCCGAAAATCTTTCAAATCCTTAATTTGAGTCCAGACACTCCCGAATATGTGTCCAAATCTCTCAAACCAAGGCTTTGATACCAACTTGTAACATCTCGATTTTCAAGACCAAAACTTTCATTTTTGATATAATGATTTAGAAAACATTTATAAGAAAACATCATCGAGTCACATTACTTGATAAAACCATAATCACATGTTTCAAAATCATATCATGAAAATAGTAATAATGTCAAAGTACAATCCTAAGAATCTCATAATGCGGAAATCCTATTCGTGTGTGATGCGCTTCTACCATGCCGACTCCTTTCCCTTCGAAGAAGAGGTACCTGACAACAAAACTGAAAACTGTAAGAACAAAGCTTAGTGAGTTCCTTCATCATACCATATACTATACATAACACATATTGCATACATAATTGGGTACTTCAGATAATCGGGGCAAGGCGAAGACTTGATCGTGCACATCCTTCAGTATTTATAAGAATTGATTTTGGGATATTTTGATTTATGATTTTGACTTTTGGAAATTAAGTTTTGTAAAAATTTATTGTTCGTTGTTTGGTTTTGAAAAAATAAAAAATTTACCTTGATTTTTAAGATGTTACAACATAGGGCCATAATTCTAAGAATTTAATAATTGTAGCCATAAATGAATAGTACTTGAGAATCGGGTGTTACACTTAGGTCTTCATTCATGGTTCCAACGTCATTTGACAAGACATCAGATGTCTTTAAGTGAATAACACTCTTTTGATAAATAGTACATTAATGATCAAATCATTCTACAATTTAAAATTTTTTGTCATTGGGGATTATACTGTTTGATATATAGATTACTCCAACTTCGTAATTTCTTTTGAAAACTCCTGGTGGATGAATCGAAATGTGTATATATCAATAAAATGGCAACTACATGTTAGTCCGATATTAGGAGGTTACTATAATAAAGTTATCCAGGGTCGTTATAATTGGCATCTATGATTGTAGATGGAATCTAGTTTGTGTGGTGGTGGCGGAGGTGGTGGTTCGTGGCAGAGGGGAGGTGGTGGATTCATATATAAATACACTTACATTTATATTCAGATATAAATACTACTCATACTATATCGCAACCAACCGTATCCTGAAATGTTTTGCGGCAAAAATAAATATTGTGTGAGAATATTTCCCCCACCTGAGTTTTCTTTCTTAAAGTTTTAATCAAGCCGATTTCCAAAAAAAAAAAAATTGGTAACCTTACCAAATCCAAAGCTGTACATTAGCAAATACAGTAAAAGTATGATAAAATATTGATATTAATAGCCTGGAGGAAGAATATTCATTTCCAAGTTGGGAATAGCATCTCATTTCCTACCGTAACTCATTGACAAAGTCAGATCCACTTCCCATTAAATAGATCATAACCATGATATGTTGACCTCCTTCCCGTCGCATACCAAAAAGAAACTCACTTGCGAAGAGAAAAAATAAAAATGGGTTGGGCATGGAAGGAAGAATACTTGGATTTAATCCTAGTCCCATCTGGGTTCTTGATCATGTGCGTCTATCATCTCTTTCTTCTCTATAGATATCTCAAGCATCCTGAAACCACAGCGATCGGATACGAGAATCATAACAAAAAGGCATGGGTTGAAAAAATGCTTCTGGTATATATAGCTTCAACCACTTGTATTTCATAACAAAATTATCTTCTTTCTATATTTTCTTTAAAACTTTTCTTGAAATGATGCAGATTGACACCAAAGATAGAGGGTTTGTAGTAGCTGTTCTTAATAGCCACTTATCTGCTTCAACTTCCCTGTGTTCCATTTCTCTAGTTCTATGTTCTCTTATCGGAGCTTTACTAGGAAACTCATCTAATAACTTTCTTACAAGCACTTTTATCTTTGGTGACACAAGTAAATCCACCAGCTCTATCAAATACATCGGCATTTTATCATTCTTCCTACTCGCATTCGCTTGTTTTGTTCAAACTACAAGGCATTTTGTGCATGCTAGTTTCCTCATAAGCATGCCAACAGGATCTGTTCCTGTTCTTTGCATCCAAAAGTCGGTGATAAGAGGAAACAATTTTTGGACAGTAGGATTGCGTGCACTCTACTTTGCAATCACTTTGCTACTATGGATTTTCGGTCCAATTCCTATGTGTGTTGGTTCAGTAGGTACAGTCATAATGTTGCATTTTCTAGACGTCAACAAAGCACCCATGATTGAGTATGGATCACCCAAGGGTTCAAATAGTGATCACCTCCGGAGGATTGGACATGAAATAGCTTCTGTGATTAGGCCTTTTGAACATAACGGAAGGCCATAGAGATATGCACGAAAACCCCTTGAAATCTAGTTATTTCGAAGCTTAAAGCTCTATGTTCTTGCTTATTTGTTCTTTTTCTTTTGTTGATTCTAAGATGATTCTTATCATCAGAACCAGCTTAATTGGTTGGGTATTGTAATTATGTTTATAGATAAACAATCAATCGTGAGAATATCAACAACTACGTTATGATTTGCTTGCTAGACACCAGCTGGTTATCTTTATCTGAACCTATCTTTTATGTTTCTTTGATTGACTTATTCTTTTGCTTTTCCTTTTATGTTTTCAAATCCATCTTTCATATTTCGTAAATCCAATTCTTTAATTTACAAATTATTAGTCTGAGTAATGTCCAAATATATAATAACGCAAGGTTTTATCTTTTATGTACTATACAAATATTTAAATATAATCTGACTTCGTTTTAGCAAAAAATTAATACCCAAGAACTTCAATTCCGTGTTTGAATTAGGAATCAAAACAATGGAGATTTCAAATTTTTATCCAAACAAACAGCAAGTTGACTAAAAGAATGTAGATTGTAGAAATGATTAGTCAATATTTAATAACGAAATGTTTAAGGCAACTTGGAAATATAGTATTCAAGTTATTCAAGTCAAAGCATTTAAAAATTTAAATCATTGTTGAATTTTAATTCCTAATAGTGGCGGCAAGCGCGAAGCCAAGAAATTTTTTTAGGATGTTCCTCATATATTATTAAACATCCAAAAACTAGAAACATATATAAATTATCAAGCAACCGCAAACTTCAAACATATATAAATTACAAATTCACTAAGGTCGTCGACCAGTTTTCATTTTATCAAACATATTGTTGATATCTTGATTGGCAACATCCACAAAAACCTCTTTTTCGATATAAGCAACCAAGTTATCATTCATCCATTGATCTCCTATTTTATTGCGTATCATGTTCTTCACAATCTTCATAACGGAAAACGATCTCTCAACTGTTACTGTTGAAACCAGTAATTTCAATGCTAATTTGATGAGCAAGTAAACCATAGAAAACACTTTATCCTTTTTGTTTCAACCATCTTCTGTGCAAGATCACCAATCCCATTTAGATTCAAAAACTTTGACGAATTCAACATATCAAGAATATAAGTTTCCAGTTGATCGTTAAGTATCTCCAAATCCATATCTAAAAAGTCATTTGGATATAAATGAGCTAGCTGAATTAATTTGTTTTTATCAAAAGCTGCAAATGAGTTATTTGGATTGAGACACACCATGAAAAGAAGCAATTTGGTGCCAGTCTCACTCACTACAAGAAAACAGCCCTTTAATGATGCGCAAACAATGACACTTACTGATAGACGACGCGCATTTGTAAGTGCCCTAAAAGATAATGTCAATTTTGCAAAATTTGAAGGATAGAGGGTACGCATTTGTGCGCGCCCTAAAATTAATGTCAGAAAAGAGAAAACAAAAAGAAATGCGGAGGGCACCTTTTATAAAATGTGTGTCATGTAAATGTGTCGCTTTATAATTTTTAAGTGAAATACGCGTTTTAGGCGGGAAATGAAATCGATGAAAATTATCCCCGCCAATTGAATCCCAAAAATTAATCGCCCCGCCTCTTCTACTTAGCAAGAAAAAGCCCTAGGTCCCTCATCTTCATATTCAGTATCATCAAACATCTCATTCATCGGATCTCTACTCAATCTCCTTCTTATCAGTATCATCAAACATCTCGTTCATCCTCTGCATTATTTCCATCGTTCTTCCCTATGCTCACTGGTCAATACCCAAAAAACCCTAATATCATAACCACTCCTCTTTTCTCACACAACAAAATCCCAAAATATCACCAAATACAAAATTCCACAAAATCGTTGTGACCATTTTAGCTAGGGCTTTTTTCAAGAACGAAAACACTCTCGCATCTCTCTTAGCTCTGATACAATGGACGATTCACCTTGCTTCTCCTTTGGTCACTTCTCCTCCGGCGACGTGAGGCCTTCCTCATTACAAATCGACCAACGATAAGCTAATACTTATAACAGAATCGTTTCACTCTCAATTGGATGTGCGACTCCTCCATCGCACTAATGACTACGACTGTGACTCTTCCACCACACCTGTGATTGCATCCCGTCTCACCTCCCTAGCCGCTACCATAATAGGTTTATCTATTCAATTAGATTTTTCTTTTCAGTTAGAAATCGATTTTATCCCTTCCCCAGCTCTTCATCTCTTCACTAAAATTGTTATTCATCTATCCACTAAAATCTTCACGGTTTCTTTAATTTCACTCCAAGGGTTATTTGATAGCTCTTGTATGGTTTATTCCCTATACTGAATCGAGAGTCAAGGTTGTTGGTATGAATTTACGATTCCCCTTCAATCCTTCATCACACATTTAACCCTAGATCTTCGGATTCTATAACTATTAGGGTTCAATTGATCGAGAAGCGTCATTTAACTCTTCATTTTTCCTGATTTTGGGTTGATTTACATTTGGAATTTTGTTAATTTTGGAATTAGGTGCAACTTTCCTATTGCCGAGACTTCTGCGTCCCTCTGTTTAGCGTCGTCACCACCCTCTAATTTGCACCGCCTCCGTCGTCGCCTTCCCCTCTACCTCCGATAACTTCTCCATTCATGCTTTCGCGTCCTCCAGCTTCTGCAGGTAAGGTGTCCATTTCCTTCTCATCTGAAAATCGCGTTCTAGATGCGTAAATGTAGTTCTTTTAGAACTGTTTGAGGCTGAAATCGAGTTCCAGATGTGTATATTTAGTTTTTTTTGTCTTTTCTTTTTCCTCTAAAAATCGAGTCCCTGGTCTATGGTAATTCATTGGTCTACGTAAAATATTTCTTTAAGTTTGACCAAATAACATTCAAAATCCATATCATATCACAAAGTTATTTATTCCATTCATCATGTTTTTGTTTATTTTCTTTGAAGTCAAGATTCAAGATCTGGGGGTTATCAACCATCGGTGTTAGCTCTAGCTACAATGCTTCATATCATAGATAAAGTTGACTCTTTAAACTATGTGTGACTATTCGGATTAGCTTCTTGATGTACTCAAAAGCACTGGATATTAGAAAAGTTAGAAACAAGGCTTTCTTTAAGGGCAAAAAGGGAATTTGTGATGTTGTGTTTGATCACGTAAGGATGCGGTAGCTTTTAATTAGATTAGTAGCAGGTGTAGTAAATATAAAATTGAGTGAAATGCTTGGTTAATTAGCTCTTCTGTGTAGAGCTCTAACTCCTTTGTACGTAGTTTTGTGCCCAGCCAGCTTCTGGCTTGGTTATTTCAGTTTTCTAAAAAATATATATATATCACATCATATTTGCAGGGCGTTCTAGACAATGGGATGGATGTGGCAGTAAAGATACTATCAAAATCATCTGGACAAGGTTCACAAGATAAAATGAATTAATATTATGTCGTCGTCATATCGGAGATGAGAAGCTTCAATGCTGTAAAGTTTACTGAATTCCTCACTGGTTCTAATGGATTCTACACATCTAATTTTGGTTTTTATTTTTTATTTAATCGATCCTTGATTTTAGTCTAAACCATGTTTGACTTTTGTTACTTAAGATTTGGTGGATCTCAGTATCAATTCTGATGATCGAGAAATTGATTAATCTTTGTTTATGTTGCAGGTGCAACTTGCTACACATTCTTTCACTTTCGATCATGTCTATGGAAGCTCTGGTTCCGCATCATCCTCCATGTTTGAAGATTGTGTTTCTCCTCTTGTTGAGGTTCCGTTTCAAGGATATAATGCTACTTTTCTATCTTACGGTCATGTATTAATTTGTCACAATTCAAGTAACAAAGATGTATTCTATTGTTTATCATAGTTCTTTACGTGTTGATTCAAGTAACAAAAATGTATTCTATTGTTTACCATAGTTCTTTACGTGTTCTAATTTCACAGACCGGTTCAGGGAAGACATACACCATGGGAACCATATTCAAAGATGGTTACCAAACCGGAGTTATTCCTCAATTCATGGCTGCTTTATTCAACAAAATCAAAAGTTTACAGGATCAAATAGAGTTCCAGTTGCATGTTTCCTTCATCGAGGTGTGTTTTTTATACCTATAAGTAGAATTGTAAATAGCTTTCTTACTTTACACCTGACTGAAAGATTTTTCTATAAAGATTCTAAAAGAAGAAGTGTGAGACTTGTTGGATACTAAATCTGAGATATCATCAAATGGGCAGAATGAGAAAGTGAATATTCTAGGGAAACTTCTAATGGTGTCATAACGCTTGCTGGATCTACTGAATGTAGTGTTAAGACATTAAAAGAAATGAGTGATTGACTTGAGCATGGATCATTGAGTAGAGCAACATGAAGTACAAATATGAATAATCAATCAAGGTAATTAATCTTTGAATTGTCTTTTAAGTAATATAATATATTATATATGACATATATTATATATATTTATGACATTTTCAACTTTTTGTGTAATCGATCACATGCCGTTTTCACAATCACATTGGAACAAATGAACAAGACAATCTCGAATGATTCTATGTGTGATGAATATTTGTGTGCCAAATTGCATTTAGTTGATCTTGCAGGTTCAGAAACGGCTAAAAGAACAAGATCGAAACCAGGACTGAGTGGACAAAAGTTGCAGCTTTTGTCTCACACAAAAGACATAAATGCCCTCATCCTCATTATTGGAAAAAAGAAATAACCTGCCTGATAACTTGATTTGTTGAACACGAGTTCATATTTATAAGGGGCTTCTTGCACATGGAAATGTCATAAGTGCCATTGGTGATGAGATAGTAAACTTACTTACCTCTTGCTGGTTGGACATTATTAATTAATTAATTTTTTAATGCAAATTGGTTTATTGCTTTTAGTTTAATCTAAATATGTTTTACGAAACTGATAGGACTCACTTGGTGGGAACAACAGAACTGTTATGATAGGTAACATATATAATTTATAGTATTGTTTATTATTTATAATTATAATTTTGTTTATTATTTAAAATCTTTGGTACTAAGTAAACATATAATTTTTCCTAATTTCAGCTTGTGTTAGTCCTGCTGATAGAAATGTTGAGGAGACTCTCAACACTTTAAAGTATGCACACAGGGCTCGAAATATATAGTAAGCCTGTGGTAAGTTTGAGTTATATGCTAGAAATAGCAACCTGCTTTCATTTATTTGCTTATTATAGAAAAAGTATTATAGTGAGATGTTATATATAATACACAAATTAGTCATTACTTTTTTAAACAATTTAATAGGTGAATAGGGATCGAGTGTCTAGTGACATGTTAAAAATGCGTCAACAAATGGAATGCTTGCAAGCAGAACTTTGTGCTCGTGGTGGAGGTTCTACTGTTAAATTATAGGTATAAATTATAATATGAATATCATATTTATTTTATATAATAAACCTTTATTCTTTAATTTCTCATAAATTTGTTGTATCGCATAAAAAAATTAGTGAAAGTGGTATGTTTTTATTTTAATTTTTTTATACAAAGCTAAAATTATTTGTATTTCATCTTCTTTTTTAATAATAATGAATATAGGCAATTCTGGTGTGATAGGGAGGAAACAACAAAAGAGTTGGAGCATACTCTTCTCCAAGACTTCACGGATAAAGAGGTACATGAGTTAAATAAAAGTTTGGATACTTTTTGATAGAAATTTATAATTTTTAATGCATAAATGCATCATTATCAAAGGGTATTTAAGACATTTGGTGAATATTTAAAACAAGAAGTTATTGTTGCACATGTTTTGTTCTGATCTTGCTTATGACAAGTCACTTCAGCAGCTAAAATGCTTCTTGAGGTTAGTAGTGGACAAATGAGTTGCATTGGAATCACTAAATCCTCCAAATGTGACAGAAAATCCAGATCGGAATCAGCATCTTATGTTCTCAGAAACAAGAAACAACAAAACAGGTAACAGTTTTAGTCCCTAAATTTTTGGTCCTTGTACAATTTTTGTCCCTGCAACAGTTCTGGTCCCTACGGTTTTGGCCCATTTATAGTTTTTTTCCTCTCTCTCTCTCTCTGTAGCTAGTGTGGTATTACGACTTCCTTCAATTATTTGATATCATAATTTCCATTCTTAACCGTTTTCATCTTAAAATGTCATGCAATATGTTGTATTTGGAGATAGTTTTTTACTTTTTATTAATTTTGATGAATGTTTATTTTCAGATACACCCTGATATCAGATCCAAATTCTAACGGTTACTTTGATATGATGATTAAGGTACAAAAATAAAATTTTGATTCTATTGTTGACAAAAATCATGTAGTTGCTAGTGCAGATTTAGTCAGTGGCATCCATTTGCTCCAGGTATAACCAATCATTAGCATTGTTATCTTTAATGATATTCTTTTAACAGAATTCCTAATTATATTGTATTTGTTGTTGTATCTTAGTCAAATCCAGAGATTCTGAAAAGATGGAACAATGAGGTACAAGAAGTTGTTCAATCAAGGGTTGCACTTGTACAGTTTCATGTACTTGTTCAGCTCCACCAGGTATAACTAAAGCCTAAAGGCTTAATCACAAAAATGACCAAAATGACCATGCACATTTAATGTGATAATTGTCGACATTTGTCCCATTAATTTAATTAATTTTATATATTTTTAGATAAGACAAAATGACCAATTGGATGTTAGCAAATTAGTTACCAGCTTAACAAGGGGTACCGTTCGTTCGCCTTTAGCACAATGCCTTTTAATTTGTTACACAAGTCAGGTACTCTTTAATTTAAGTAATGATTGCCACCTGTTATCTTTGAAGCTGCAAGGGCAATAACGGAATTAAACGTTGTTACTAGTAGAGAATTGACACCTGCAATTAATTGGTATTGTACAACTGACATTATTATTGTGTAGGATTTCCGTGTTGTTCTTGATAACGAGTTGAGATTGATATTGAAGTTAAGAGACATGATGAAGGGTTTTAGAGCTTCTTCTGGCAACTTAATGACAAGTTACTGAAACAAGAAGGTGCCCCTTTATAGCAATGTAGTATTAGGTTATATTGTTAGGGAAAACCTCTTAATAACAATGTAAATTTAATTTATATATTGTAAAAAATAGAATTGTATGACATTAAATTTTATGCAATGAATTGTATTTTTTGTATATGGTATTTTATTTCAATTATGAGACATGAAATGCAAATTTAATTTGAAAAATAGTAAATCTATAAATAATGTTTTTTTAAAAAAAATAAAAATTACGATACGCAAAAATGTGTGTCATATTCCTTTATGACATGGCCTTTCTTGACATCGGATTAAATGATACGCATTGCGTGTCATAAATGCGCGTCGTCTCTCTTTATGACAGGGCCTTCCTTGACGTGCATTTGCGCGTTGTCTGAGTGTTTTACGACGCGCAATGAGCGTCGTAAAAGGCCTTTTTTCTACTAGTGACTAAAACGACTCTCTAGTTCTGTGCGTTGCAAATCAATGACATCGTAGAATAACTCTACACAATAGTAGTGTAAGTTTGTCATCTTTGGATATTTTCGTTGTGACCGTCCAGGAAGTAAGAACATTGCATCCATGTTGCAAACCTCAATCTTGTGCTCTTTACAAAACAATGTAGTCTGAGTGAGCATAGAATCCCATCCACTATCCCTCAAATTTTGCAATTGCATCTTGTAAATTCTAACCACGTCTTGATCTTTCCTTTGCAATGCTTGGGACAACTCATTAGTAATACCCAATAATCTTTTCATGAAGTAAAGAGAAAATATGAAATCAAAGGTCTGCAAGGAGTTAATTAACATATCAACTTCACATTTTTGTTCTGGGGTTGCTCCATCTTCCGCAATAATCTCAAGAACATCTAAAACGGATGGAAACAATGTAATCATACTTATCAAAGTACCATAATGGGATCCCCAACGTGTGTCTCCCGGTTTGATAAGAGATGTTTCTTGATTGATGCCTCGACTGCTTATGATTTCACCTAAACCAAGTACTTCAATAACTTTGGAAGCTTGTTGTTCTCGAAGACGGTCAAGACGATTGCAAGAACCTCCAACAACATTCACAACATTGTTAGCAACACAAACAAAGAAACTATTTTTGAATTATTTTTTGCCATTGCTACAAGAGTAAGTTGAAGTTGGTGAGCAAAACAATGAATATAATATGCACTTGCATTTTCATTCAAAATCAAAGTTTTAAGACCACCAAGTTCACCTTTCATATTACTTGCCCCATCATAACATTGTTTGCGCAAACTGGAGATGCTCAACCCATGTCTTGAAAACAAATTATCGAGTGTCACTTTAAGTGTAATAGTTGTAGTATTTGGGACATGCTCAATACCTAGAAAACGTTCAATTACACGACCTTCTACATCTACATACCGCAACGCAACACTCATTTGTTCATTAATCGAAATATCACGAGATTCATCGACAAGGAGAGAGAAAAAAGTTTCGCTAATATCATTTATAATGAGCTTCGTTGTTTCAATCGCAGCTACATGAACAATGTCTTTTTAGATATCTGGTGAGGTCAACTTTAGATTCAACGGAGCATTATTGAAAGTAACATCTTTAATGCTTTGATTATGATCAGCTAGAAATTGCAACAACTCTATAAAGTTCCCTCTGTTAGCTGAAGTTTCACTTTCATCATGTCCTCTAAATGCAAGACATTGTCTTAATAGAAATCGAATACAATCAATTGATGCATCCAATCGTATATCATAGTCTATTGAACTTTGTGTTGAATGCTTTACGAATGCAACATCAACGCGTTGTTTGTTGTTCTATAAATCCTTGCACTTGGACCAAGCTTGGTTGTGAACACTCTTGAAACCTCCAACATGTTGATTCAACTTTTCTTTATGTCCCCAATTTTCAAATCCCACACTAACAAACGTTTCACCGCCTCCTTATGCTCCAACATATGGTTGGAATAAATAATAATATAAGCAATATGCAACATTTTGAGTTACACTATATTCTAGCCATGTAGAATATTCTTTAACATTAAAACAAGCAACATTAAATCTTCGTGGTTATTTGCCAAAAAAGTGTAAGGAAACTCGTGAGATTTAGGTTGGCAAGGCCCTTTTAAGAGGTATGCTCTTCGAACTTCGTCTCGAACATTAGGATCATAATCTAAAATCCTAGTCCTCATTCGAGGGTCTGAGGGAAGATCTGGTAAATTGATTTCCACACGGCTATGTTTGAAAAATCAACATTAGATGCCTCTAATGAATCCATAATTTTTCTCTTTGTTAAATATTTCTCCATGCCTGTTGAATGATAAGTGATTAATAAATAATAAGTGATTAATGAAAAATAAGAATTGTTTCTTATAATAAATACAATAACTAAATAGAAAAATAAAAAGAAAATATAGGTTCTACTTGGTGTGTTCATATGTTTATGTTTGCAGAGAGAAAAGAAAGAAAAATATAACAATTAACAAATATGTATATTCAAACATCAAAAAGGCAAGATATAACAATTAAAAGATAAGTATATTCACAATGTGAGTTGTGACATTCTCTTTTCACAGCATGGGCAAGTGTACTGTTTGCAGGTGTGCAACAAAAGGAATTAAATAAACAAATGGTGGTGCTCGGTTGCTATATATTTTCCCATAATCTAAATAACATAATTTATACAATAAATAATAGGATCATAGGAATCGTATCTACTCCAATTCTAAATAAACAAATTAACGGAATCCCAATCGCTTTGTTGTCGACATATACAAAATATACAATAAAAATATAACCTAAATTCTTTGAAAATATAAAATATTAACATACAATAAGTCAATAACATGCTGCTTTGCTTGCTTGCTTGATCGCAAACTTCAATTAAGAGAACTAGAAATTTAGAAGACGATACCTGGTTGCCTTACTTGCTCGATCGCACTTTTCTACATCTAATTGCCTGCTAATTTGATCTAATGAGATTTGGGGTTCGGACTAATGAAAGCGACAAGAGTGGGTCTGGCTATTTGGGCTAGTAAAAAAAATTAATAATCTGAGGGTCTGGCCCCAACGTGGCTCCGCCATTGAGTGGCAGAGCCAGAAATTTTGATATCGGGTACAAACATTAATATCAATATATATTCTACTAGGTTATAACCCGTGAAACCCACGGCTGACAAAGTAAATGATAAATACATTATAAAAATGGTAATCATGAATCTTATATATGTAAACTTTTATTTTAATACAAATTTTGATATGTTAGTTGTAACTGTATTATCATTATTTTAAATTAATATATAATTACAATGAAATAGAAAATTAAATAAGCTGAAAAAACAAAGACAAACAATCATGAAAATAAATATTAGTATTAAATTAACATATTAATTTCTTTGTAGGTTCAATGCAAGCAATAACAATATATTTTCATATATGAGTGAATTATAATCACATTTACATTGTATTTAATAGTTATTAGTTTACACATTGTAAGATTAGATCTTTCTTAACAGTAATCTTTATTTACCCTCTTGGCCTCTTCCTCCAAATGGCCATTTGATCTTTCTCGCACTAATGTAACAAAGTTAAAAAATAAATAAATAAATAAATAAATAAATAAAAATAAATAAAAACAAAAAATAAAAACAAATTTGGGTGAATAGCAGCTTTTCTCATGGACTAACTTCATTATATTACATCCAATCAACCTTCGTTTATTACCAAATTCATTGTGTAGCAATTATAGAAATTAAATTAATCCAAACTGAAATTCCATCGACCAATTTAGTTTGAAGTATTATAAAAAATACCAACAATAAATATAGCTAAAATATAATTTACCTTTGTGTAATAAAAGGTTAGGTAATTATCAACTATAAGGAAAATCATTATAATTTCACATTCAAGTTTCCGACTTTCCTTTTATTTCCGGAGTACATATTTTTACGTAATCATATTTGCTCACTTGCTCTACATTATATTTGTTAATTACATAGAAACCTTATGACTATGCAAAAACACAATAAGATAAAAGCATAATATAATGTGATTTATCTTTTCTATATTCGTACAAAAAAACCTTTACATCTTAAATTTCTTGGACAATGCATCGATCTTGACAATATTAATAGATAAAAATGTCGATATTAATCCCTAATAATTTTCAAAACAATCTTGATAATGTGACACTAACCCCTGACAATTTTCATTGTTTGTAACCTCAATTCAATCCAACAACCTTCAAAAAATCTGAGAACAAAGAAATTAAAATGAGATTCAGAAGATGTTAGAGGCCGGCTTGAGATCTAAAGATATGTAGTTGAAAAAATGTTGAAAAAAAAAAACTATAAGTATTTTTTTTGATGATTAATAGAGTCTAAATAATTTAAAAATCAATTTCATACAAAAGAACATTATAAATTAAAAAGATCGATCTCATATTCAGTAATATCATAATATTTGGTCTTGATCAATAAATTGTACTTGAAAAAAAAACTTAGATGATTAATTTCAACATTTAATATTTTTTAACTCAAGCAATCAACCAAACTAAACAAAAACAAACACTTATAAACATATATTATAGTCTTTAAGAACAAAATTATGAACACAACCTCAAGTGCTTCAATTACTACAAATCATAGTTACCCATAAATGAAGTTGTATTTACTATCTGTTTCCCACAAAACAACATAACATGCAATCAACAACAGTTCATTGATTACATATAATTCATCAACAAACAGTAAATATGTGTTTAATGAAAAAAATATTAAAACATGTCACTGATATTTTTGTATATTGACTTTTGACAGAGTTTGAATGAAAGGAAAAAAATGTTTATTTAATTGATACCAAATTCTAGAAAAGATGAAGGAAATTTAGTCATTTTTTGTTGGAAAAACTTTATGTGTTTTCATAATTATGAGATCTCACATATGCCAACAATTATAGGATCTAAGATAACACATATAATTCCACTACTAGAAACTTGAGTTTCAGCTATGGATTTTGCTACGGAT